CCGAATGATCCAGATATTTCTACACAAGAAAACATTTGATTTATTTATTTATACCCTGTGTTTTTTTTGTTTGTCAGCTGCAACAACGCGTCGCNGAAGAAGTTTGATTTATTGCACATCTCGTCTGTAGTTTGTAGTTAAATCTATTTATAATTAAAGCTATTTGAATATAACGAGATAAATACAGATTTACGCTCTGTAGATCTTTTTTTTTTTTTTTTTTTTTTTTTTTTTTTTTTTTTTTCAAACTAATAGCTGTATTCAATTATCGCATTCAATAGAGACATTCCGAATGATCCAGATATTTCTACACAAGAAAACATTTGATTTATTTATTTATACCCTGTGTTTTTTTTGTTTGTCAGCTGCAACAACGCGTCGCTGTTATCAAAGTGACATTCAGATTCATTTGCGCTCCTCCGCTGGGGACACTCAGACTTCTTCGTTTCTTCTGCGGCGGTCTATTGTCTTCAAAATGTTTCTCACATCGAATGACTCACGACCCAATCCGCCGGCAATTTCGGAAGAGAATTTCCTTCTAATCCCATCCGACGTGTCATAAGTCACGTACCGACGTTGTCAGGGATGCGTTTGTGCATAAAACAGGGGGGTGATCACGCGTCTCGGGAGAGATAAGCGAAATCGAAGATCGGTGTTTTTCCTCTGAGCGTTCCACGTGTGCCTGGTCACGTGTGCCGTGCATCCATCACTCCATAAATGTCTGGAAAAGTGAGAAAAATTGCTCGTTTGAGAGAGCGACTTCGAGGTCGACATCGTTTATTTAGACAGATCGGTTTATTCGGAAGCATGACTAAACTCTTCTCTCAAAATATCCGAGATTATACTTTTGATGTGTGTCTGCAGGATATAATCTTTTGAAGATGATCAGTTTACACAATCACGATGATTTTGATAATTAAATTATTCAATAAACATAAGTCAGTAACTTCTCAAGAGAGATAATGTGCAGTCGTGTTTAAATATACGTGTGTATCTAATAATATATATTATGTTACATTATACATACAATATACGTTTTTGTTCGAGAGTATATGTAATCATATTAAATTTGATTAAATACATAATTATATTCAAATTGTATAATCGCCATCATATGCGCTCTATAACGCGAAAATGCTGTGAGAAAAGACACGAAAATCTGTACAAACACAGCAATATGAAAAAACAAAGTTGAAAAAAAAAAAAAAACCCGGTTAGGAGACTGGAACATCGCGCGCTTTGTAAATAAAAATTCTCGCGAGACGTCACACTCGGCGGCGCAAAAGATCTCGATTTTTGCGGAAGCCGTTTCACCTTTCCTTTGGTTATCTCACGAACTACTCTGCTGCTGTACCGCAAGAAGAAAAAAAAAGAGAACGATATTTCTTCGTGGGAAACTCCGACACAAATTACGTTATGGCGGCCGTGTCTCAACGTCTACGGCTTCTTTCGGTCTCGCGAGACACTTAAGTGCTGATGAAACTTTGATTCCGACTTTGCCGCATGATTTCCCATGCCATTAGCACGGAGATATTCTTCGCTTTTGTGCGGTTTTTATAAAGCTAAAGGTTTATAACCGCAAAACTTTTGGGTTTCAAACATTCGCGCGAGAAAATTGCGCTATCAGTTTTGTCGGATGGATGAGAAATGATAAGATCGAAAAAAAAGAGCACTTTGGCGTGCGACAGTTTATTATTATTATTTTTTTAATACTCCATTAAATTCACTGCTAAGTCGTCGTGACTTTAAGTAAAAATGTGTTCGCAAAGTGACAAAACTCTCTGACAAGGAAGCAGCGAAGTGTCGCGATAGTGATGTATGCGCTCGACGTGAATGTATTCAAAATCGTTTTTTCTCGTTTCTTCGCAAGAAAATTGCAACTGTGCAAACAAAGACAAAAAATGATTTGATATCTGATGCTTTCGCGATGTTTTAACATTCGAAGATGTTTTTCGGGTTTGAACCGCGTTAGTGTTATTTTTATACCGACGTTTCGTGAACATTTCAACTTACTTCATCAATAATAGTATCATGAGCTGCTCTTGAAACCCTGATGAAGCGAGCTGAACGTTCACGAAACATCGATATAAAAGTGACACTAACGCGGTTCAAATCCGAAAATCATCTTTGAATGTTGTAATAAACAAAAAATGATTCTTTTTAAGTGTATATATATATATATATATATATATATAATTTTAAGTATATATATATATATATACTAATTTAA